GCGTACAGTAGGATCTCACGGACCCACCTCCCAGGTCCACGATGACCAGCATTCCAGCGTGTTTGCTCAGCCCCTCGTCAGAACATCGTTACGGTCATTCAACATTCTCTGGATTTCTCTCATCATGCCTCCTCTCCCTCTCCCTTGACAACCTCCCCGTTGAGTTTGGCCAGATGGTTATGATTATTCTCTTTTTACAAAGACAAACCCTGTTTCAGAGAGGCAAAGAAAAATTTCCAAGGTCATAGAGTGAGGGGGTGGCAGGGCCGCACGGCTCGGGCCTTCTAGTACCTGTTGGTGTGCGCTTTACTAGCCCGCTTCAGCCATGTAAGGATGATGGCGCGGTGCGCTGCTTGTTGGGGATGCAGCTGGTTTTGGGTCTCTGAGACCCTTAGTTTGCCAGGTTATGCCTTCCTTTTAACCCCTGTGTGTGTCCTGCCCTGCTGCCAGGCCCTATGACTTGGGGGATTAGGGAGAGGAGGGCAAACCCGGCTTTCCTAGGCCTCTTTCATCTGTGGCTTCCTTGGATCATGGCTGCGGGATGTTTATGAAACTCTGAATCAATTTGAGGCGCAGAGATTTTCAATCAGGGAAGCAGATTGCGCTGATAGGGTCAAAAGGCCTGTCGCCAGCAAGGAGCTCGGCATCTGACATATTAATTTGAGCTGTCAGAACCAATATGTGTAACAGAGGTGTGGAGGCACAGGCCCTGTTTCTGGAAAGGAGTGGGGGGCAGGGAAGGGAGGGGAGGGAGAACCACCCTAGGAGGGTCTGACATTTCACAGATTCCGACAGGGCCAGTCTTGCCTGCAGTCAGCCTGTGACCACTGTGGGCCCTGCTTACTGGAAAGGGCAGGGGGCCAGACCGGAGGTGATGGAGGCTCAGACCTTCACAGCAGGGGCCTGTTACTGGGTAGGTAAACCTCACTTGGCTTGCTGTAGACACAGCCCTTGCTCTCTCTCTCCTCTTATCTGCCCCCACCTGACTTCCAAGACCCTCTTGCTGGTCTGGGAGGCAGAGCTGAGACTCAGCAGGAAGTGCCTGTTACTTAGAGCCTTTGATAGTGGCCTGGGAACTGGCTAGGCTGTGTCAAGGCTCTGGAGAGCACCTTCCCCCGGGCCAAGATCACACCCACATCATCACACTTTGTGTCCTTAGCATTGCTTTCCTGCCTCCCTTCTCCCACCTCTTTTTGGGTCCCCATCTTTCCTGATACTCTGCACCCCTGATTCCTTTTAAACTGCAGTGAGAGACTGTGCCCATCCCTTCAAGGCCCATTTGTTCCATTGGCAGGGGCTGGATGCTGCTACTGGTGACTGATGTGAAGTTCCATGTGAGGATATAGCATGCTATACCTGTCTGTATGTGTCAATACGGTGTAAGCAGTCTGAGCACCTCATCCTCTGGGGTTTATAGATGGGAGTCAGGGTGGCCCTGGGAAGCTCAGTGGTACTCACGCTTCTTAGAGCAAATGAATACAAGGGAGTACATGCATGTAGGTCACAGTGTGACCAAACCACAGCGGGGGCTCAGGGGAGGTTATTCCCATGTCTGTGAGTCCCCTGGGCACTAGGACTGGCAATGTTGGTGACCTGTGTGTTGGTGATCTGTGTGTTGGTGATCTCTGAGTTGGTGATCTGTGTGTTAGTGATCTGTGTGCTGGTGATCTGTGTGTTGGTGATCATGTGGGGAAAGAGTTATTCCCCATCCGATAGAACAAAACTCATACTTATAAAATTAGGCATACAGATAGCTTTTGTTACCCCTCAAAAGGTGGCAATGTCCTTAGAATGCCACCTGGGCAAGGATTCAGAAGCTTGAGGACCTTGCACACTACCCAAGTCCCTGGTGGGAAGTGGGAGGAATTTAGACTCCTGTGAGTCTTACAAACCAGTGACCGCCTGGGTCAGCCTCCCTCATGCAGAGCCCTTCCTTGTGTTAATGGCTAATTTTGATTGTCAGCTTAATCAGATTAATAAGAGCCCAAGAGATCTTCGAGGCACATTCTGGGGTGTGTGTGTGTGGGGGGGTGTCTGCACAGGCATCTCCGTGGACCACTGGATCCCAATGGCCCAGACATGTCTAATGGGGTTCGCCCTTCATGGAGTCATACCGTCCCAAAGGTGAGAAGTAGGGGCTACTGGAGGCTGTAGGTCTCTGCGGGTATCTTTGGGGCCCCCAGCCTCTGTCTTTCTGCCTATTTTTTCTACCTGTTGGCCACCTTGAAGCTCCTGTACTACAAACAGCTGCTGCCATGATATTCTACCTAACAGCACGACCATAAAACTTGGGACCCAGGGATCACAGACAAGACTCTCCGAAATGTGAGCCAAAAGAAATTCTTCCCTCCCCTCTTTTAAATGTCAGGTATTCGGTTACAGAGGTGAGAGGAGTAACATACCCATGGGGAAGACGGCAGCTTCCCTGGGCAGGAGCGTTAGAAGGCCTCCTTTGGGCACCCGAAACTGTCTGCTCTCAGATGGGTCTCCTCTCTCACAATCTAGCCTTTTACCTATTGAATATAAAATAATTTATAGTTGCATTTTACCAATAAATTTGACAATCAGACCTCAGTAAAGTTAAAAAAAAAAGTAATGTAAAAAACACTCGTCTGGGGAGATAGTTTCCAGAGTTGGTGGAGCGACTGTCAGACAAAGCAGGGGACACAAGTTTGACATCCATAACAAACATTAGAGAAGTGGTGTGCACTTGTAGCCATAGTGCTGGGGGTGCAGAGATGGGGCATCCACGGGGCTCTCTGGCACACCAGCGTACCCTACTTGCAAGTTTAGGCCAGTTAAGAAATCTTGTCTCAAAAATAAAATAAGATTTAAAGAATTAATAATTAGAAAGAAAAATAAGGTAGGTAGCACCCACAGAATGACACATGAGAGCACAGCTATGAACCTGCATGTACACAAATACTTAGAAGCGCACACACACACACACACACACACGTGCACACACGTGCACACACACAGCACAGCACAGGCCCAGGGTATCAGTAGGCCACTGGATACCAGAGCCATTTGAACCTCAGATTATGGTCTTAACCAACACTCTTCATTGCCTTCCAGAAAGATGGAGAATGGTCATGAAGTAATGTTAGCCATGGTGAGTCAGGCAGAACGTAAAAGCATATCTCTGTGAATGGCTGGCTAAAGTGTCGGAAGCACAGAAAAGGACAGAAAGAAATGCACAATAGGAGGAGTGGATCTGGGGGAGAAGAGGCGTGAGCGGAGCAACTGGGAGGAGAGAAGGGACAGGAAATATGACTGGGCCATAATATGTGAGGGAAGAAAAAACAAACAAACAAAATGAGATAAAAGGAAGTACACATTTTTACAAATGGTTACCACTGAAAACTTTAAACCCAAAGGCAGAGAGAACCCTTAAGTTTCTTCATTCAGGTTCTCTTAGAGGCGCCTGAGAAGCCGTCTCTCACATGATACGGAAGGGCGTGTTTATTGTGAAAGTCTCTGTCTTCTGTTCTTGAGTGTTGGCCAAAGGGGAACAATTACTGTGATGGTTTGCTTCTTGACCATCTCTCCAAGGCCAGTGTTAAAGACTTGGTCCTCACAGTGGCTGTCTTAGGAGGTGGTGAACCTCTGAGTGGCGGGGCCTAGTGGGAGGACTTGATGTCCCTGGGCTGGTATCTTGAAGTTAATTGTGGGAACACTCCATGCTGCCTTGCCCCAAGCCCAGCTCAGCCTGGAATCTCCCAACCGTGAGCCTAAACAAACCTTTCCTTTTCACGAGTCGATGGGCTGAGGTATTTGTGGTAGTTATGGGAAGTTGGCAGGCATGGTTGCTGCTCTCCCTTGAGGTTTCCTGAATCCTGCCTTAAACTCAGTATGAGGATGGACCATTTCACATACATCTACGTTCTGAACTGTGCAGCCTCGGACAAGCTTCTTGAGGCCCCAGTTACTTGTGTCTGAAGTGAGCGCGTCATTGTGTTGACCTTACAAAGCTTACCAAAGTTAAATGAGAACTCAGGTGAGATGCCAGGCACAAGAAGTCCTCAGCCTCGTGAGTTATTCTTACACAGGAAAGCCTGGGAGAGTCATAGCTCAGATGGCTCTGTAAGTTACTGGAATTTAAGGGAGGGCCCCCTTCCCCAGGTGCTCCGGGGATCTCAGCCAAGCCAGTCTTTGCCTCCTTGACACATGTTTTCCCCATCCAGTTTACCTTGGCACAAAAGGACAATTCATGGGTATGTTCACATCCTGGCCCTCGACATCAATCTTCCTTCCCAGGCATGTGGTGACAGCTCCCGGGTCTACTGGACTTTGGTCTCTGAGTCTCCCATTAGGAAGAAAAAACAGCGTTTTTGCCTTTTCCCGAAGCTCATTTCACGGGAAAGGGGTGAGAGGTGGGCGCCTGAAGAGAGGGAGGTGGAACAAAGATCATCTTGGGGACAAATGTGATCTGAATATTGAGGGTTAGGGGCTTTGTCAGCAGCCTGGTATGGAAACACACGGGGCAGCCATCTTCCAAGGACCGTCCTGTGCCAGTCCTGCCTCCAAGGGAGCCAGCGGAGGCTGTCTCTTTCACAGGTCTAGACTAAGACTTGTCCTGGCCCTGGGGAGGAAGGGAGTGACTTTGTGCAAAGCTGGTGTTTGGGTTGGATTTTTTTTTCCCCCTCAAGTATCACATTTTCCCTTTCTTTTACCAAACAAGTGTCTATGGGTCATCTTTCGCCACCCGTTCCCAGCCCCAGTGATCTACCGGATTGGCTCAGACGAGCAAGTCCTTCTCTTGGGTTCTGTTGAAGTTTGAATTCCCAGTTGAGATCCCACGTGCGCGTGAAGATAAGCATCCTATTTCTTTCCCAGAGGTTTGGACTTTGGGTCAGAAGGCACGGTAACAAACAAAACAAGCCTGGGGGAAATGCACTTTGTGTTTTGGACAACACTCAAGAGGCAGTGGGAGTGTAAGCGAGGTTTCTTCACTCGTGTATTGATCCATCTGAGGAGACCTTACCAATTCTTTTCAGCAACAGAACCCGTGTCTAACAAGATCAAACCTGTCAATAATTCCAGTGCGGATTGGGCAGAAAGTCATGAGGCTCTGGCCCCAGCTGAGGAGCTGCTGGAGCTGATGGCTGCCGGGAAGGAGAAGGTACTTTGGGTTATTAAAAGAGAGAGAGAGAGAGAGAGAGAGAGAGAGAGAGAGAGAGAGAGAGAGAGAGAGAGATATGGACACAATGATGGAAGAACATGTGTTGGGAAGGGGTGTCCAGAGAGAGTAGAAGTGGAGAAGTTGGGGCGAAGATGATCAAATTATGTTGAATATATGTATGAACTTGTCAAAGCACAAATAAAAATCTTTAAAGGAGAACAGGTCTGATTAATGAGGTCATATCAGAGCCATTTTTTTTTTTTTAATAAGGACTGGAAGTAAAGCTTACAGAGATGCATACCCAAGGCGTCCATGCTACTGCAGAGTGTTGGCTGGTATCTGGGCATTCTCATTTCTAACCCATAGGTCAATCATGCCCTCACTCGCTATGTGCAGCGTTTAAGGAGAAGCATAGGCAGCCATGAACTTGCAAATGAGCTCTGTTCTTCAAGTTCACTGGGAAGTCAGTTGTCTGGGACTTTTTCTCTATGGAATCAGTGGTGTAGATGGCAGCTAGTTTTCCGGAACAGCGCACCGTAGGCTGTTTAATCCACAGTGTGCTGGAATTATGGAACTACCCACCTTCCTTTGTGCTAACAGATTGCAGAAGCAGGATATTTACCACTAACAGGACAGACGAGTCCTCTGTGGGGAATGAATCTACCAACCTTGCTCCATGGACCGCCAAAGCCGATAAGTGAGCGCAAACGGCATTTGAGTAAAGGATGGATATTACCAATTTACCTCCATCTCAACACAATGCAAAGGACATGGTTCTCTGTCAGTTTTGTTTTTCTTGAGACAGGGTCCCTTTATATAGCCCAGGCTGCTCTGAGCTCATTGTATAGCCCAAGATAGCCCTGAATTCTATAAGCCTTGATGGAACTGGGAGATGAACGTGCAGGTGGTGCCTATTTTTTGTTTGTTTTCTTTTCTTTTGTGTCCCCAACACATAGTACAGTGTGTGTCTGATAAATTATTCTTGAGTTATAGAAACGGACTACAGTTTCATGGATTTCCCAAGGAAGAGGCCCTCAGACACTAGCTTCCAATCTAGTTACTACTATTTAGCATGCAGTCCCAACAAACCTGTTTGCTTTGTTTCCAAACCCATTTTATGTAGAAACAACAAAATGGAAACTGATGTAGACAGATCACATGGCTGGCAGTGAGAGGTGGCCAGCATTAAAGGAAGAGCCAGGAAGACTCTAGGGCTGTCGTGAACCGCAAAGGCACAGTTGCCTGGGACCGTTTATCTCAGCAATCCCAGGAGACATTATTGCAAGATAAACATTAGTTAGTGCTCTATAATTTATCACTCCTATTTAAGGATGGAGGGAAGCGTGTGTGGAAATTGTAGGAAGCTTAATAAAAAGTTATGGTTTTTAGAGAAGTAGACTCTAGTTATCTGGGAGAATGTTTTAGATCGTGGAGCGTCCTGGCCTTGATATTAGAAAAGCTTGACAATTGTGGTTAAGTCACTGCACAGGCTGTTTGGAGCTTCTATTGGTGCTTTCATCATTTTCTTACTGAAAATATAATTGAATAGCAAATAGGAAAACGCCGTATTTAAGCAAGGAAGAAATGGACCTGACTTGGGGACACGGGACTGCAATTCCAGATACCTGGGAGACTGGCCCAAGAGGACTGAGTTACCTTGTCTGGATTACACAGTGAACTTCAGGGCCCCTTTCTCAAGATGAAAAGTAAAATGAGGGTTGGTGATATGGCTTGGCCTTAGTGCTTACCTAGCATGTATGAGGATCCAGGTTTAACCCATAGCATGACACACACACACACAGCATAACACACACACACAAAGATGCATACACACACTCACATGCACACACACATCAAAGAATGTGGAAGTGGCTGGTGTGGATAAGAATGATTCTCAGATGGCTCCATGTGGCCTTTGTGGGGCAGAAGGGAGGGCAGTAATGCTTGCTGTACAGTGTACATGTTTAGAACGGTATTTGATGGCGAAGCATGGGATTCAGACCAAGAGAAATTTTCATTAGGAAATCAGTTCATCTGTGTATTAGTTGTGTAACCTTGGATGGCACATCAGCTACCCTGCGCCAGAGAACCTTCTTGATAAAGTTCCGAGGTTTAGCTGAAATAGTGTGAAGGGTCTCGAAGTGTGCTTGCCACATAAAACACACTCAACAGATGCAATCATCTCTTCCAGTGTCCCAGAGTTATCCTCTCCCATCTGTTGTTGCATGTATACACGTGTGTGTCTGTGTGTCTTAACTCCGAACAGCTTTCCTTTTTAGCATCGCATGTATCCCCTGACCTTCTCCATGCCTGATGAGCAGGTGGGCAGAAGGACATAGTCTGAGAGTATATCATAAATTTCAGTTAGATATTTGACCATCGCTTAGGTCATGGACTAGCGATAAAGCATTGTGTCTATGGACGAGTGTGCTTTGGGTGTGTCTGATGTCATCAGGACTCCTGTCATAAGGATACTGTAGTCCAGGTGGCTTCAATATGTGTTCCTCAGGACTTAGAACTGTGGATCTCAAAATGAAGGCATGGGTAGAACTGATGTTGAGGGACAACCTGCTTCCTAGTTCCTGGATCCTTACACACTGAGAGATATAAACTATCATTCCAGGGTTTCCTTGATGAGGAGTCTCATTCATACCCTCATGACAAGCCAAACAGTCCACCTCCAAACACCAGGATGGCCTTGGGGGTTATGTTTCAATATATGAATTTGGGGGGCTTCCAGTCATTTATTCTGTACTGTCTTGGAAATAGGAAAGAGAAGTAAAGCCCCCTGCACCCCACCTCTTTTGCTATGACTGAAATATCTACTAGGTGAGGGTCCACGTGAGGCAAGATCACTCACTGAACAGAGCTCTCTTATCAAGTCTGTCACCTGCCATTGCCTGGGGGCAGAGGCTGAAAGTTGTGCATAGATATTTCACACACCTTTGTGATTGCATGAGTCTGAAGGTTGTAATAAGAGATTATGCATGACCCAGATACTATAGAGACCAAGGCCCCATAGCTACTGGAAGCATTGGGATGGCAACGGCTTAACTCCTTTCTGGCCATTGCTGGTGAGGGAGGCGGACTGTCTCATACAGTTTGGGTCCCCTTCTTAAAGGAAGCCCTTATCTAGCAGGCTGGCATATGTTATTTAAGGATCTGGTTCTCTTGTCTCAACGTGGGCTGTCTCTGAACACCCTCCTGGCTCCAGAACTCTCCTTGAGATTGGCTAAGGTCCTTGTTTGCCCCTACATGCAGCAGACTGACTTCAACTTCTAGCCAGTCTGCTTCCTTCATTCTATCCAAATCACTTCCCAGTGAGTCACTCCAGGCAAATCACACCTGAAAGCCTGTTTCCTGGAACACTGGGTATGGGACAAGGTGCTGGGAAGCAGATGCTTAAACAGGACCTAGGAGATAGATGACCCATCTCCCAACATCCCAGGAGGGTCCTGTCTCTGAAGGTAAACAGAATGCCCTAGTAGAATCTAGGACAGGTGAGAAGCAGGTTGGGCTATAGAAAGAAGGCTATATATTTAGGCTAGTATAATGTCTCAGGTATTTGAGGGGCTTGGGGACAGTGGCAACTAAAAGGACGGAAGGAACCTAGCAGTTAGTGCACCTGTGGCAGGAAATGAAAGCTTGATCATCAGCTTAAAGGAAGGGACTTCTGCAGGTAACACAAGAATCCTACCGCTTAAGGTTAGAAGGTGGAAAGAGGCAAGGGTTAGGCTCAGGGCTTTGGCATTAGGATGGTAGAGCTCCAGAGAAAGCTGAGATCTTAGTTGTAGCTGATCTGTTACGCCCCAATCAGTTTCTCCTGGGAACCAATGGTTCTGAAGCTTGGAATGGGGACATTTGAGTTGGTGTCCTAAAGAGATATTGAATACTAATCTCCTCTGAGCCACATGGCATCCTGGAAGCAGTTCACCTCCTTAGAGTTCAAGGGTAACGATTCCCACTTGCTTGAAGCCAATGAAGACACTTCTGCCGTCCAAGACAATGTCGATTCCCACAAGACTTAATTTTCATTCCATCTTGGCCACCAGCTTAGGACTAGGCATAAGGGGACATAAAACAAGCTGTTTACAAAGGTACTGTGTCTGCTGTGGAGGAAAAGGACGTTATCCCAAGGAGCTGCAAGATTACCCACCATGCACCATGCCGGGACCCTGTGAGTATGTAGGCCTGCTTATAAGCATGCTAGATCAGCAGATAGAAAACACACAGGGAAGGATGGGGTGGGGGTTGGTCTGTTTTTCCTATGGGAACATGTTCTAGGTCAGGATGTAACCACATAATAAGGACTGGAAGACTGAACTTAACATGGAGAAGGACTATGTTCAATGAAGTAGAAGCCCTAGAACTCCCATGCTCTAGAATGAATCAGCAGAATTATAGAAGTGGATATGCCGGAGTGGTTCTACCATGCTAGAACATCCTCCACTGATGATCTAAGAACCCACAGGAGGAGGTGTCCCAAGATGCTACCCTATTTATCAACGTTTGTATCCTAATCGCCAAGTGTCATGAAAAACTAAGAGACAGATCATCTGTGGGCAGGAACAATGACATAGGATGTTGCTCTAGGATTTCACTGCCTTATACTAACATGACTGGAAAGATCCATGAATAAGAAAGGACAAGTGATACCAGTTAATAATCAGAAGCAAAGTAGGCACAAGCATCATGAAGAGCAAGGTGAGAAGTCACAGAGACCTATTAATAATTACTATAAAATGCCCCTAGGGGCAAGATAGCCAAACTGAATGTTCCACAAGGGTATTGCAGAATCTATACAAGCAAAAGAGGTGATTACTCAGGGGTGTGAGGCCGGAGTCCTGGTAAGTTATGCTTTCTTGCCCTGTCTCTAGACCTGAGCCAGTGTTTGGACCTGGGATACATCAACTGAAAGAGAGATCAGGTCTCCAGAGGAAAAGACCCCATGATACCATAGCAAATATGATGTCTATAATTTCAATGCTTTCTCAAAGTCA